CAAACTAGTATAAAAAACTTGAATCATTTTATATCTACTTAAAACATTGAATTTAAAATTTGTAATGAGGGGCTGGAGAGATGGCTCATTGGTTAAGAGCACTGACTGCTCTTGCAGAGGACCCGGGTTCGATTCCCAGCATGTACATGGTGGCTACGAACCATTCTTAACTCCAGTTCCAGGGCAATCCGAAGCCCTCTTCTGACCTCTGCGGCATTGCATGACACATTATAGGAACCATCTATGCACTGTTTCAGGAAGGACCATACTCCAGCTAACTATATAAGGCCAGTATTCATTCCTTTGGTACCCAAACCAGAAAAAGATTTGCAAGAAAATTGCTATAGACTGATATATTCCATGACAAAGTATGTTTAAATTCACATGTTAATTGAAATAGCATTGATATGCAAATAAGTATACCTATTAAATATATAATATTCTGGGGCTGGAGAGATGGCTCAGCAGTTGACAACACTGACTGTTCTTGCACAAGACCCAGGTTAGAATCCCTGCACCCACATGGCAGCTAATAACTTTCCGTAACTCCAGTTCCAGGGGATCTGACATCCTCTTCTGTCTTCCACGGGCATTGCATGACACGGTTGCACTTACCTACCTATAGGCATAACACTCATACACATAAAATAAAAATGATAAATAAAATATTTAAAATATGTAATATTCTATGCACTTGGGCACAACAAACCCATTGCTACCTGAAATTATCTGTGCATAGCTGTGTGTGTGTGTTTGTGTGTGTATGTGTAGACCACAGCATAAATTCTGTCTTTAAAAAGTTCAGTACACAAACAGTATTGTTGACTATTTAACACAAAAATGCCAAAGTATTAGTAAATCTAAGTCAGAAACATATAAAGGGATAATAAATCATGACTGACTAGAGTTTATATAAGGGCTATTTCATTTGATATTAGCTAAATCAACATAATTCGCCAGGTGAACCAAAGAAAGAAAATAAACTTTCTTCACATAGATGCAGAAAAGGATTTTGCCCAAGCTTAACACTCATTTGTCACAAAAGCTCTCAGCCAAAGGAGAAAAATTCCCCTAACACAGAGCACCCATTGAAACCAATAGCTATTCTCACACTGAGGACCAATGGATGGCCGCTTTTCCATTCTGATCAGAAACAAGGCTGAAGTGCCCACTCTCACCACTTGTATTCAATCTTGAGTCACTGCCAGACCCAAATGGCAGGAAAACTATATAAAATGCATAAGGTTCCAACAAGCTGTAGTAAAACTGTCTATGTACATGTAGCATAGTTCTATGTACAGCAAATTGTAAGGGATCAGCATATAAGGTGCTTAAAGTGACTGGAATAACTTATGATTCATTGCACACTGCCAAAATCATTTACATTACTATTAGTATAAAAATTAAAACTAAACTGTATTAAATATTAAATTTTCAAAAACATAAAACATGTATAGTTAATGTTTAGAAAGTAGATTCAAGACACATGCTTCAAGAACTTCAAGTCAGGCTGGACATGGTGGCGCATGACTTTAATCCAACCATTCCAGAGGCAGAGGCAAGCAGACCACTGTGAGATGGAGGCCAGTCTGGTATGGGCTACATAGTGAGTTCCAGGCAAGCTGGGGCTACATAGTAAGACCCTGTCTCAAAAAACAATTAAAAACCCAAACAAACTTCAAAACACGACTTAAAATATTATAAATGTAAATTTATAGAGAGATACTCTCTTTGTAGCTTGGAAGTCTCAGTGTTGCTAAGATATCAATTTTCCCAAAATTAATTTTTGGACTCAACGTAATTTCAGTCAAACTTTCTATTATCTCTTTTCCTGAAAGTAGAAATTGATAAGTTAGTTTTTAGAATTATGTAGATTTGGTAGAACTAGCATTTTTTTATGATCCTGTCTAGCATTGTACTCCTGGGTATGTACACAAAGGTGTTAAAAACTTATATCTCTGCAAATATCTGTGTGCAGTTGTTTAGAACAACTGTTTTAATACCTGCCCAAACTTGGAAGTAATAAAGTTACCAGTTGGTAGGTGAAGGAATAAATAAGCAGTAATATATCCAAAGAACAGAATATCATTCAGTGCTAAAAAAAATGTTCTACAGGCTGTAGAACAATATGGAGGTAACTTAAAGGCATATTATTAAATGAATATTGTTAGTCTGAAACCTCTAGATGCTGCCGATTCCAACCATATGACATTCTGGGGACGGTGAAACTAAGGAAGTTTTTAAAAATCAGTAATTGGGTCTGGAGAGATGGCTCAGTGATTAGGAGCACTTGCTGCTCTTCCAAGAGTACCTAGGTTCAGTTCCTAGCACTCACATGGCAGCTGGCAACTGCCTGTAATTCCAGTTCCAGTGGATCTGACACCTTCTTCTGGCCTCCCTGGGTGCACAAATATGGGTATACATACATACCTACATGAGGGTGAAACCGCATACACACAAAATAAGAATAAAAGTAATTAGTGATTTCCAGAAGTTGGGGGTTGGAACTTGGGAAAACAGCTGAATTGACAAAGCACAGAGTAATTTTAGGGCAGTGGAAAGACCTAGCATAACACTATTTGTCTAAATCTGTAGTAGTAGGAGATGGAAGCTTAATGCATACTACAGAGCTGAGTATAAGGAGAACAAGTGCACCACTCTGATGGGGCACTGGAAATGAGAGGCCATACTGCTGTATAGAAATCCTTGTATTTTGGCTTTAATTTTCTCTGAATTTACAACAGTTCTAAAAATATATTTACAAATTTAAATATTAATTTGCATTGATAAATTAAAGACATTTTATCTACAAAGTATAGGAAAATGCAAAAGACCTATAATAGTCAAAACCATTTTGTTTTGTAAAAGTACTATAGACATTTCATTATTTTCTCTAGAGCTATGGTAATAAAGACTTTGATAGTGATAGACACCTTATATCAGATACAATTAACTGGTTTTTGAAAAAAGAAAAGCCAAAGTAAGCAGATGAAGAAATTATACCATCACATCAAGTGCTACCAAAATGAATCCATATTTCTATGCGAGAGAGAGAGAGAGAGAGAGAGAGAGAGAGAGAGGAGAGAGCCTTTACTTAAACCTTTTCTTCACATAAAGCACCAACATTCACTTGAAAGAAACCATAGATCAAAATGTAGAAGCTAAGACATAACACCTCTAGGATGAATCTTGGCCAGTGATTCTCCATCAGTCCAGTCCCTCTTAAGAGAGTTACTTGTTAATTGTACTGAAAGGAAATTTCTTGAAAATACTGTAACTTCCATATGATACCTTAAAAACTGGGTGTATCTAAAGTATAAACTAAAAAAGAAAAAAATGATCTATATAAAACTACATGTACTGCAATATATAAATACTTGGTTGAACTACCATGGTAGGCAAAATGGAGCATATTAATTTGGGGACTTGACTATCACAAGCAGAATTACCAGTCATATTTTCTGTGTCATTGTACAAATCTTGGTGAAGTGGAAACCCACAAAAACACATTGACCTCAATTTGCATAATTCATGCATCCTGTAAAATAAAAAATACAATTTTTTTTGGTCTTTTTGAGACAGGGTCTCTCTGTAGTCCCAGCTGACTTGAATTCACTATGTAGACCAGGCTGGCCTTGAACTCACAAATATCCGCCTGCCTCTGCCTCCCAAGCGTTGGGACCAATGGTGTGCACCACCAAGCCCAGCCAAAAAATTATATGCAAGCAAATTTCAATCAGATTTAAAATATAATGCAAAGTTTTTTTCTTTTATTTGGTTTAAAAATATCTACATGAATGGTGCATTCCTTTAGTCTCAGCACCAGGAAGGCAGAGGCAGGTGGATCTCTGGGGTTGGAGGCCAGCCTGGTCTCCATAGTGAGACCCTGTCTCAAAGAAAAGGAAAAAAAAAAAAAAATCTACATGAATACCCAGTAACCTATTAAGAAGTTCATGAGGGAATAGTTTATGTGTTGGATTATTCTGCCCATTGAGGGCACCCTGATCCCATGGTACACTGATGTAATGCCCAACAAGATATCCTGTGCTGTCTTCTAAAACCCATTAAGGTCCTTGTTTCCAACCTGAGAACTATTGATCTTGGCCTCAACAAACAACAAAAACCTAATAACCAGTAACCTATTAAGAAGTTCATGAGGGAATAGTTTATGTGTTGGATTATTCTGCCCATTGAGGGCACCCTGATCCCATGGTACACTGATGTAATGCCCAACAAGATATCCTGTGCTGTCTTCTAAAACCCATTAAGGTCCTTGTTTCCAACCTGAGAACTATTGATCTTGGCCTCAACAAACAACAAAAACCTAATAAGAAGTGGCCAGCTGAACCTCGTTGACAGAAAAACAAAACGCTGTTCTGAGTTGGAGGGAAGAAACCACAGGACTGAAAAAGAAGAAAGTTCGGATCTGAAGGGAATCTCCTCAGAGGCTTTTATTCTCTTTAAACAAACGGGCCGGAGTACATGGACAGCCAGTGTAACAAGTGGAGTGACCGAAATATTTCAGTAGAGCTAGTGGTGGCTTTATTTTGCCACCCCTCTGCCTCACCAATCATCTCCCCGCGGGTTAGTCCTTTGCCCTTTGCGTGATGTGGATAGTCTCCAGGGGCCACCTCAATTCCCAGGTACCTTAGTCACGCTGACTTTGGGAGAGTCTGGAATCACCTGGACACTGGGTGCACAGATTCTCCAGGACTTTCTGGAGAGCAAACGTTCCTAGACAAAGAATTCTCACAGATGATGTTTTCCATCTGGAGGGATTTCTCAGACCCCAAAATGCTTTGGTATTAATCACTTTTTTAATTTAAAAGTTTGGATAAGGGATCGTGATCCCTTGACAGAGAAAGGCATGCGGTAGGAAAGGCCCTTTTAACCAAGGACCCTTTAAAGATCTGGGCCTGGGAGAGGGGTGGGGAGTGTCCTCTTTCTCCCCCACCCTCGGGCGGCGCGGCAGAGCCTGGGAGGGCTGTCTCCTCCTCTTCCCCCGCAGCTGCTCATTCTGGCCCGGGACCTGGTGGCAGCAATTCCTTCGGCTCCTGAGGAGTGGATCTGCCGGGGCCATCGCGATGCCAGCGGCGTCCGGGGTCCTACTTCTCCTGCTGCTCTCGGGCACCGTCGGGGGCGGCCAGGCACAGGGGCCACATCAGCGGCGACAGTCCCACGCTCATCAGCAGAGAGGTACTGTCCAGGGCACCCTTTACTGGACCGCAGTTCCTCAATGGCCTGGCTGGCTATTGTGACTGTCCCGGGACCACTTTCTTGGTTTGCTTTTAGGGAGTGCGTTTTAGGACAAGAGGAACTAAGCCTCTTGCAAGTTCAGGGTCAATTAATTCCCGGGGTGAGTGGTTGGGGGAATTACCTCTAGCCGAAGGGAGAAACACTTTCTTTGCTCAGAAAGGACTCCCTGTCGCTGTAAGTCTTGGAAACTGATTTACAGAGCACTTTTCTAAAGTTTCCCAGGCAAACTTTTTTCCAATGGGGGTGCGGGGAGGGTGGGGAGATTTCACCAAATTAGATTCCGTTCCTGCAGAGAACCGTTTCCCCAAGATGTAGTTTATCTTAGAAATTTGAGGAGAGGATTTTTTTTTAAACTTTAAATATTGCGTTTCCAATTATTTATGTAAAGTAAAAGTATGTGGTTTTTTTTTTTTTTTTCTTTCATGGAAAATGCCTCCAGCCCCACCTTCTTTAAACCCTCACAGCATCTATGTAGCCTATCTAATAATAGTGAAGCCTCCTCTTGCTTAAAATACAGATGAGATGTCTATGCCTGTATATTTTAAAACCACTATGACTAGACAAACGCTTCAGGACTTTTGGAAAACAATTGTATTGAAAGTAACTAAGTTATTCTTATCCGAGCATCTTAATGCTTCTATGCATATATTACTGAAATCCATAGGCATCTTTGAAGAGTTTATCAGGGTTTTTACAAGAAGCACATGGACAGCATTGAAAATATAATTTGTAACACATTCTTTTAGCAAGCATTTCTGTAAGTTGGAAAATCTAATAAAAGTAAAAGAGTATTTCAGAACTATGTGAGATTTAGTTCAAAATATTTTCCGGAGATTACAAAAATCTAGGGGAAAAAACTTTGGAACGCTTGATGAGGCTGAATTTGTGAGATTTTTAAAATATAATTCTCCATTTTTTAAATTAAATGGAATCAAACCATATCTAGTAGTTCTGATGTTTGTTCTTATTATAATTAACATTTCAATAGTACCATTTTTAAAGACACAGATGAAAGTAGATACTCTAAGCTCTTTGCTCTAATCTCTGATTATAATTCCTAGAATAAAAATGACCTCCAGTTTCTCCAGATAACTTTGTTTTTCCTTCTGTTTTTGCAGTGGTAAAATGGGGTCAATGTGACTTTAATAATAGAATTAATGAGACTGATTTTGGGAAGTATCTTGGCAACTGATTTGAAAAATTACACTTAACTTTTAGCCTTTGTTCAATCATGATGTTTTAACAATAGATGAAGCTTTAACATTGTTAGACAGCTGGGAGACAAGAGGGAATGGAGTGCCGATCTTTCCATCCACTTGGAATAGGGCAGAAGCTTCAGGTATGTGGCGTATCGAACAACTGAGTACCTGAGAATTTTCCTCATGCATACACACATTCCCTCTCCTTATAGTCTCTATTTTTTCACATTTATTTATTTTTATGTTGCTGGGTGTGCTCCCATGACAGTGAATGTGTGGCGGTCACACATTAACTCCCAGGTGTCGGTTTTCTCCTTCCATGATTTGGTTTTGGGGATTGAACTCAGAACATCAGCCTTAGCAGCAAGCACCCCTACTCACAAAGCCCTCTCCTGGGCCCTGCTATTGTCTTTATTATGACCCTTTGCAATGTATTTGGAAGTCAGCTTCAGGATAAATTATTTAAACTATTGATAATAAAAGTATATTTAAAATATATTTTATGATGGCTTAAATTAGTGTAGTACTTTATAAGTTAACAATGCCCTTATATTACAAGATCTGTTTTTCATCTTCAGTTATTATTATTCCCACAGGACTAATTTAAGACCCAAGGCTCAGAGTAGTAGTGATTGAAGTTCACGTAGCTGATAAGACAACTTCATTTCCAACAGTAAAAAAGTATACCCAGTTTGTTCATTCTGAAAATACCTTTATATGGGTTCAAGGTGTCTTCCCTTTTCTTTTTAAAGATCCTGTTTATCCTTCTCAATGTTCTTTGGTTAAAGTAAGCTTTAAGTAAGGATCATTGGCTATAGTTTGACAAAAAGTGTTTTCTTGGCGATCATCAACTTTTCTGGTTTTGATTATATGCACTAGCAGTGACCTTTATGGCCATGTACTAATTGCAGAGGAATTCTGCTTTTCCTTATAGACCAGTGCCAATTTATTCAGGATGCTGGCATGTAGCATAGCTAGATGCTGTAACTGAGTTAGAAGCTTAAACATACTTTGTTTGCTTTAATTTTTCTTGACAATCTTATGTGGTTTCCATAGTGCACTGAATTGCAATGTGAATGACATTAGTTCAATCAGTTTGATCTGACAAAGAATTTTTCCCTATTCTATTAAGATCAACAAAATGGAATGATATAGTCACAGTGAATCTTTCAATGAAGCAGTGGATAATATATTCTCTGATATTCATGTTGGTAAATGGAGTAGAAGCAAAATGGTAGGCTAGTTGTAGCTGAGGGGAAACCAGCATCCCAAAAATATTGTAGAGTGACTCAAATCAATCTGGGGAAAGTCTCACATAGTATGGCAGTTTTCTTCTTTTCCAATAGTCTGACATTCATTTGGTTGCCTAAAGTGGTGAAAAACAGGTTCAGAAATTTCATACGTCTCCATGGCTGGACCATGGAACCTGCATGAAATTGTTTTATTTTTCATATTCAAATGTTAATTAACTTTTGATCTTCTGAAATTTACTGTGCCCTTTATAAATACAGGAATAAGTAGGAAGGAGATGCAAAAACCTGTGTGAATTGCAGCAGTTTCAGTGTGAATAGTGTGGAATGATGACAGAGAAGTTAACATATTCTCATACAAACATAGAAAAAAATAGACAAGGTTAGCACATTTATGTACCTCATTGATAAATTCAGAGGCAGGAGAACAGTAGTTAAGGTTTTGAAAAGATTCTTACAAAAGAAATGTTCCAAGTAAAACCTCTGATTTAAGAAGAAAAGATTTAGAGGGAGGAAATTTAAGGGAGATCTTGAAACTTCAAGAAAGGTTGTTGCATGAAAGGAAGCTAATAGGGCCTTTCTAGAGGCTGAATTGGGTCCCATAAAGAATGTGAAATTTAGGAAGGCTTGACTCCAGTAACATAGGGAATCTTCCTCAATTTGCCCTATTACTTCTACCATCAATTTTGAACAGTTCACCTATAAGTGGGTTGGAACTCCTTGCATCTGACAGTGTCCACATGATGATCCTAAGATCCAGGGATCTTTTAGGATGGGACGCATTAGTGGAGAGGAAGTTAAAGCACATGATATCTCCAGTCCTGTTTCAGTTCCAAGGTTCTGATATTATAATCTATTGTTTTTGGAGTGAATACTTGTATTTCAATTTCTGAATTCTTAAGAATGTCAACAGAATGCTCAATGTGTTTAAATGTGTATTGAGATGCCTTCTAGAATTTAAATAAAAACATGTTTGAGACAATCCTCACACATTTTGGGCAAGAATGCTTAAACATTTTATAAAGAATTTCCACATCACCAACAATTGTGTAACTCGAAAACATCCCATGTTATAAAATATGAGAACAGTTTATAAATAACCTAAGATATTTCTATGGGATTTATTGTGTAAATAAACCTGGAATTACTATTTTAAAAATATTTCTTTCACTGCATATGTGACTTAATAACTTGTTTACAGTGTATTGACCCAACAGTTTAGCAAAAAGTCTTTATAACAGATAAAATATATGACTGAAAATAAGAACATATTTAAAATTGACTATTATGAGTATGGTACCAAATTGAATCTACCCCAAGGATTGTTGGGCATTAAGAAAAAAACTGGGCATGCTTTCCAGATCTTACTCAACTCACTTTCTGAAATATGGGGCAACCAAGACCCATATATTTAGTCACTGTAGCCCAACTAGGTGTCCCAAGGGTTCTAGCCAGGTGTGACTATGAGGGGAAAAAAAATCTATCTTATATTTTATGGGAGGGATTAAGTAGTGGGGAGGATTCCTGAATTAGTCAGAATTTCTGAATGTGGCCTAGAGAGATGGCTCAGTATGGGAAGTCATGCTTGCTGAGCAGCATGAGGCTCGCAGCTTTCATGTAAAAGCCAGAAGTGGTGTTGAGTTTCTGTAACCCCAGTACTCAGAGGCGGAGATATGTGTGGATCCTGGGACATCTCTGTCCAGCCAATCTTGCTGAATTAATGAACTCCAGGTTCAATGAGACCCTGTCTCAAAAAATACAGATAGAAATCTCTTGTATCATTGTCTGGGTACAAATGTTGACTGGATAGGACTTAACATGTATAGAGAATATATGAGGTCTGGTGGGGGTGGGAGCATGAATGGGGGAGGGGTCTAAATTTGATTAAGAACTGTTGTTCTTTAAATGTACAAAATGTATAAAAGCTCAATAGAGTTTTTTAAAAATACAGTGAAATTCTAAAAAAAAAAACCTAAAAATTTTTTGGAGGGTGATAAAGGAAGACAGCAACATTGACCTCTGGCCTTCATACATGTGTACATAGATAAATACACATACATACATGCATACACACTCCAAAAGCTATCATTCTTGCTATCTTGTAGTAGCTACTTATCAAAAGAGCTTGATTATTGGTAGATGTGATGCATCATAGTCCTTAGCCTTACTTATCTAAAATGGAACACAGCACCTATGAGTCTATTTATACAGATAGTTAAGTGGTGAATGTTCTTTGATGGTGACTAATATGCTAGACATTTTAATTTGGACTTCTGAAACTGAAGCACTGTTTCTTTTGACCCACATAGACATAATAGAAACTGTTAATACATAAATTTTGTAGAAAGTATCACACCTTTCATAATATGTGTTAGGATTAGCGGACTATACTTCTGTCCACAATGGAAGTGAGGACTCAATATCTAGCAAGATCCAGAGAAAGGCAATCAACTTTAACCAGGCCTTCATACAAGATTAGTAGAGTGGCTGT